AAAAAAAAAAAAAAAAAAAAAAAAAAAAAGGAGGGCCAGATGGTTGAAACTTGAATGCCCTCATCATAGGGGAGAGGGAAATAGGAACTGTTGGCAGTTTTAGAAGAAGAGTAAATGATTTTTAGGAGAGATGATTAAACCCAAAGAACAGACGATAGCCAGAGATAACATTTGTCTGAGCTCTGACTGTGGTGCCAACCTCAAGTCTTCTTTGCTGTAAGTTAATCTTCTCTGTTTGATGAGATAATAGGCAGGGACTCAAGACCTGTGGTTTCCTGCTCACTTTGGCAGCACATGTACTGGAATTGGAATGATACAGAGAAGATTATCATGGCTCCTGCACAAGGATGATGAAAATTTGTGAAGCGTTCCATATTGAAAAAAAAAAGACCTTTGGTCTTTGACCCTTGGGCCACAGAGCAGTATCAGGCTGTGCAGAAGGAGTGAGCAGTGTGAGTGAGTGAAGCTTCATCTGTATTTACAGCCGGTCCCCATTACTCACTTCACCACCTGGTTTCCACCTCTTGTCAGATCAGCCATGGCATTAAATTCTCATGGGAGCATGAACCTGACTGTAAACTGTATGTGTGAGGGATCCAGCTCAGGGCTCCCACTGATTCTGCATTATAGCAAATTATATAATTATTTTATTATATTTCACAATGTAATAATAATACAAATAAAATACACAATGAATGTAATGTGCTCGATTCATCCCCAAACCATTCTCTCTATCCCTGGTCTGTGAAAAAATTATCTTCAAAGAGATCAGTCCCTGGTCCCTAAAAGGTTGGGGACCCCTTCTCATGACAGTTGCATTCTTCCTGAAAAAACTTTCCTTAGTCAGATAGGGAACGTCAGTTAAAGAGCTTAGAGAGACCTTGGTTCTGAGGTTGCTTCTTTAGTTTAAAGTACTCAGCACAGCAGGGCACAGTGGCTCATACCTACCTGTAATCCTAGCTCTCTAGGAGGTGAATGTGGGTGGATTGTCTGAGCTCAGGAGTTTGAGACCAGTCTGAGCAAGAGTGAGACCCCTGTCTCTACTAAAAATAGAAAAACTAGCTGGGAATTATGGCAGGTGCCTGTAACCCAGATACCTGGGAGGCTGACCCAAGAGGATTACTTGAGCCTTCAGTAATTACAAAGCCCTCAAGGGTTTGAGGTTCTGGAGCTATGATGCCACAGCCCTGTGCCCAGGGCAAAAGAGTGAGACTCTGTCTGAAAAAAATCAATCAATCCATAAATAAAGTACTCATCATGTCAAAGCACTGTGCTTTGGGATATTTATTGTTTCTCCTGAGATGGAACAGGGACCCCAAAACATGGAAATAAAGGAAATGCTTGAGTCCTTTCCTGGTAAGTTCCAGGTACCTACCTAGACTTGAAAAGTGAATGGGAATAATGATGGACCTCCAAGGAAGCACGGGTCATGAGGTGTTTTGGATCTCTATGGAAACTAAAAGATGGCATCTTCATGTGTATTTGAGTTGTTTTTCATAAACATCCATTGAATGAAAAATGCAAATAAGGCAGAACTGAGGAACTGAACTCTGAGTATTCTTTGCACTACATTTCTACCTAAGGGTCCTGGAGAAGGTCACACCCTTCTTAACATTCCCTTCTGCTAATCCAACAATCCCCGAATCCACCTATAACCGAAAGGCCCCCACTCCAGTGCCCTTTGGGACCAGGCCAATGTACAACCTCCCCATATCAGTTTACAATTTTGCCTTCCTGAAATGTACCCTTGCCTTTAAAACCCCTTGCTTGTAAGCCATTGAAGAGTTCTAGACTGTTCCCCTTACTGGGCACCATGTAATAAAAAAGCCTCTTCCTCCATTGAAACTCTTGGTGTGGGTATTCAGCTTTGCTGAGCTGAACAAGTGGACCTCAGTTTGGTTTGATAACTTTCTGAGTTCTAACACTAGTTATTTCACACATTTCTAATATGTATAAAACAATTTTTAAAAAACCCGAATATTAAGACAATGGCATTATTCCACATATCCCAGGGAATATGTTAATTAATTATCGATGTGCATTATATTACATTGACATTTAGTGTAAGACACATCTGGGGTTTACTCTATGACTAGTCAGTTTGGTATACCACAACCTGGAAGCCTGAGCAGCCTATGGGGAAGATCTCCAGCTTTGGGGGCCAGCTCTTGGTTTTGTTCCTGGCTTTGCTACTAACCACCAGTGTGATGCTGTGGCAATTACTTAATTTTTTGGAACCCTGTTTTCCTCTGCCTTATGAGGATTAGAAATATGCCACATGCATGGGAAGGACCTGGGTTAATAAATTCTCCCAATTATTTATAAGTAATATTAGTACAGCATAGTGCAGTGGTTCTCAAAGTGTGAAAGCTCTTAAACCAGGGCCCAGACTACTAAATCAGAAACACTAGGGATAGAGCTCAGCAATCTGTTTTAACAAACCCTCTATGTGATCCTGAGACCTCTAAAGTTTAAGAACCACTGGCAGTGTTTAAGTGTAGAGATCTCATCTAGAAAATTGGATAATAAATACATCTACCTCATGGGGAGTTGTAAAGAACTAGGAACAGCATTTTGCATATAATATGAACTAGGGAAGTGTCAGTATTATTTATATCTGAAAGACAGAGGGCTTATATACTAGAAAGAATGCTGCAATCAAATGTTCTTTTGTATGCAAGATTTAATAGCTTTCAGGTATATGGATTTTGGGCTTAGACAACTTACATTCAAATCCTGGCTGTGTCACATAGAAGCCATTAGTTTTGGGAAAGTCTCCTAATTTCTTTAGGTCTCAATGTCCTTATCTTTGAAAAAAGAGTAATAATGGTATCTACCTCAAGTAACTACAATGGCATTAAAACATCCTTAGTAGGGTCTTGACAAAGATTCTCTCTTTAACAAAACTCAATTCATTGAGACCTCTGTTCAACCAGGCCTGACTTCAGACTTCTGTCGCCATTCTTATAGAACCCAGTTTTAGTAAGAAATTTGGTATATTAATTTAGAGAGACCTCACCTGTGATATCCAATCATCCTTGATATCCTTATCTCCCACCATCCCCCAGGGGATATCTGACCACTTTAGCTAGCTTTCAGCAAGAAGTGTGTTAGATCAGGAGGTTAGCCAGGATCATTTTATACAGAATCCCTTCTTACCCTGTTGTTTCCTCTTAGTAATTTTCTAACAAATCCTAAGCCCTTCGTCAGTCCCCATTTTTTATTGTATTTGGAGTTAAGCCCAGTCTCTCTTCCCAATTGCAAAACCCCACTGCAGTAGTATCTGCACTTATCACAATTGTCCTGAGTTAAGTCTACATAACCAAGTGTCAGAATAATTTTCTCTTAAATTATTAAATTAGATGAAAATGTTACTTGTTAAAAATTATTTTTTGAATAGAAGTAGTTTGCTTGAATGACAAGGCAAAGTCTATGATGCTATATAAATCTTAAACTTGCCAGAGATAATTACTTCCCCCGCCCCTTCTTTTTTTTAGAAAGAGTCTCACTTTGTTGCCCTTGCTAGAGTGCTATGGTGTCATAGCTCACAGCAACCTCAAACTCCTGGGCTCAAGTAATCCTTTTGCCTCAGCCTCCCAAAGACCTGGGACTATAGGCACCCACCACAATGCCTGACTATTTTTAGAAACTGGTTCTTGCTCCAGTTCAGGCTGGTCTCGAACTCCTGAGCTCAAGTGAACCACCTGCCTCACAGAGTGCTAGGATTACAGGTATGAACCAAGGATAATTATTTTCTAAATTGCTGCTTACTTTTGGAGCTTTAATACAATTTCATAATATTTTTTAAAGCTTTGAGGTTACAAAATAGCTCATGATTTTTAATGAAATTAATCTGTGCATTTAACCTAACGGTCCTTTCAAAAAACCATACCACCAGTGCCTCTGACAATGCCACAGAAATAGGTATTATAACCAGCAGCTGCCATTCTGTATGAAAGGATTACACATCTCTTGATGAAGAGCCTTGCAGGGTATAGCACTAACATGGTTGTATTTAGTGCAATGCCATACCCAACTTCACACTCTCACATGAGGCTTTGTTATTCTTGAAGACTGTGATCCCTTAGATAGTCTGGAAAACAGTTCACAAAGGCTCTCTGAATAAAGATGCGCATGTTTAACAAATCTGCTCTTGCTGGTCTCCATTACCTTCTTTAGCAGGTGTAAAGCTTTATTCCCGATATTCCTTTCCATTGTAGACGCCTGGCTCTAAGCCTTCTTTGTTTCTACCCAGATGCCAGCTTCTAGTTAACTATTCTTTTCTCTTTCTTTTTTTTTTTTTTTAAGCTTCCCACCATCTGGAGGAAAAGTGATTGGGGCTAGGGTCATTTTTGTACCTTTTAAAATTGCTATGTAGGTAAAAGGATTTGTCAAACCCATGAATGATCCTTCTCGGTCTGATCTCAGAGGCACTTCAGATTGGCAAAGGGCTCCTTCGTGAAGAAGCCGAGTCAAGCAGAGGTAGCAACAGAGGTAAAGAGGAGCCCGCTCAAGCTACAAAATGGATTGAGAAATATAGATCTGCCCAATTATAATTCAAACAAAAACAAGTGAGAAACTGTAGTGGGTTGAGGCACTCTTGGCCGAGCATCTGGGCTTTGCATGCATGCATGCATAATTAAGCTTCAGGCAGCTGCAGGCTTCCACAGTGCAACAGGGCAGGCAGGATATCATAATACACAGTAGGTTGCATATCAATGAAACTCTTTTTAAATTCACATGAAGCCTCAAATAAAAAGACATCAGCAAAAAATTAAACAGCATTCAAAACGTCAGTGAATTGTGATACAGGCCACCAGGAAAACAATGGAACCCGACCTGGTTTCCCCCCATTGTTCTGTTTCCTCCACACAAATAGATTGGAGCAACAGTGCTGACTTTGTTTTAAAATACACACTCTCATTAGATCAAAGCGATCAATGCACATTTCAGCAACTTTCAAGGCATCACAGGAAGAGGGAAATGGTCTGCTTTATTTTGAAAGACAACAGAGAAAATCACACACATGCGTTGGGGTATTGTGATATGCAGATGGTTAGCTTTCAGGAGAATTAAATATTCATGACGATAAAAATCTCTCTCATTATATTTTTAATGTATATGAGGCTTTGGGCTCAATGCCCTCTGTGTTCACATAACAGACCCACCCTGTTCTCTGCACACATGGTTCTGCTTACAAGGATGGCTAAGATTGCATCCTGTGATATCACCCTTGCCCAGGGTGGTCAGGCCCTTCCAGCACCCAGCTGCCCCATGTAGCCAGTGATGTCACTGAGACAACTTTGCCATTGCCTTATTTTTGTTTCCGGGGACACACAATCTATGGCAAAAGACCATTAACTGGGTTTTCTTTCCTTAT